ATGTAGCTGATGGTAAATGATATTAAACGTCATTTGTTATTTGTTATCGGTATTTTAAAGATCACTTATGGATCCACGGCCCACACATATAATTGGATTTTCACAGATTTTCACCCAAACACATGTTGGTTTCTCGCTATTCACAAGATTTTGATTTCAATCTGAAATATTGTTGTTGTTAAAATAAGAAGTGCACACACACAGACACAAACGGGTATGTTGCCCATGGAAAATAATCACATCAGTTTCAAGAAAACAACCTTGAAAGTAATCATTAAATAAACGCGATCAGACATGATTTGCCCATTCGGATATGCAAAACATCCATTAAACAAAAGAAAAAGAAACAAAACAGCAGCAGAAAATATCGATCTGAATTTAAGACTTGTCAAGGTAATCTTTGCTCTTTGCCTCATTATTCGATACAATTGGGACTCGGTTGGGTCGGTCGATTCTGACGTCTAGGTAAATTGCCATCTAAACATCAGCATGTAGCTTTGTTCAATGTTATCGAGATGCAGTGTTTGACGTTCCGTGTCAGTGAAGAGCGGGGTAAAGAAACTAGCACGCCGGAGGCACCGATTGAGTTGTAATCACTTGAATTTGACAGCGGCGATGTTTGGAGTGTTAAATATCTTCAACGCTGTCTTCGGCATGATGAGCCGAAGCTGCCTGATATTTGTTGTTTTATCCGCCGACCGGTCAAAAGCGAGCGGCTGTCATCAACAGAAATAGAAAGTAAAACCGATTTAGTTATTGAAATAGAAAGTTGTTTGAATAAAAGCAACAACGTCGCGGCTTTAATGCGGCACAAATGGCTACAGATATTTACGGTAATATCATGCGGTGTTTAGTAGACATAAATTAAATAAATTTGAAATCATTAAATTTAAACATTTGATTCAAAAAACCAATATCGGTTATGATATGTTGCGAAACTTCTACTTCCCTGAAAATTGAATGAATCTACAAAGTATTGTTCTGCAAAAATCGTCGCAAAATATGATTTGTAAAAACCATGTTAAATGTTGATAGATTTCTCGCACAAAAACTTATCACAAATGATTTGTTTCTTTACCGGCCGACCTAAAACAAAGCGACAAAGTGTACAAACAAATTTAGGACAATTTGATTTGTTTGTTATTAAATTTTTTGAAATAACAAGGTACCGGATGTAGAGTTGAATTTTCTAAATTTCCTGATTATATATGTACCATTGTTTCAAGCAATTTTCATTTTCAAGTTTGTTGTTAAAACCAATAATGGGTATTCCAAGTTCAAAGCGAGACGAATCACAATAGTGCAAAAACTACTGAATATATTGTCAATTTATTATCAAAAATAATCTTCTTGTCCGACCTTATGTAGGTCTTCCAACAACCACATTGAAATTGGTCATCGTAAGTAACGCTTGTGAAATCCTGAATGAAAACTCTTAAAATTGTTCCATTTTAAGATTTCCTATAATTCCTCAGAGTGTACAGCTGTCCGCTGTAGGTATAAATCTTGAAACACTTCAAGGAAATTGTGAAACAAGCAACATCGCTTACAATCTGAAATCAACATACACATTAGATACACTTCATGTCGGAATTTCCAAAGCATGAAAAACTTTTTCTTGCCGCGAAAAATTTTTGCGAAGTAGAACATTTTTTTCTATTATCAGTAAAAGTTCTAGACATAGTATTTAATTTGGACAAGAAGTTGTGTGAAGCGGATATCAATCGTTTAAATTGTTAGTTTTTTTCTGAAGCTTGAACAATACTCTAGGGAAATATCAGAAAATGATTAAAAATTGAAAAACAAATTCTAATTTCGATACGAAGTTCTGTCCATTTTCGAGTGTTTTTATGAGTTTTTGTAAGAATTATTCTTGAAATCTAGTAAGTCAGTCGAAAATTTTGTTAAATTTTTTTTTTTAGAATCTCCACATATTCTCTTCAATCTTTAAATGAATTAATGATCAGTGATTAAGACATTGAGTGTGAGTTCAGAGAGAGCATATTTATTTTATTTACGATTGTTTCGTCCGAAGATCATAACAGCAATGACAGAAGTTTAAAAGATCCTAAAAATACTCTTGTAGTAGTACTCGGGAATTTTGTAACGAACAAACTAAATAAGATCACAAAAATTGGAGCCCTTGGCAAACATTTATTAGAGGGTATCAATTTTTCTACAGTAATTTCGATATCAGGATCTTCGAATACAGACAATGACGTCAGCTCTGGCTTAACTCTGACAACTTGGCTGGATACCAACTTTCAACAAAGCCATCTGTAACATTTGGGCAGGCAAGCATGTGTGGTGTACATTACAGTTGGCAACCACATGACACATGGTGGGGACATGCACAAATCTCTGGGTGTGTGAGAATGTGTTGCGTAGCTAAATTTGATAGATGTTGGGGGTGACCTCGTTTCGACGCAACCGGAGTAGTGCGTGAGTGCGCCGAAGAACGAAGCACACGGTTTTCACCCTCGTCATCGTTTACCAAGCATGCCGCCTCTATCTCCGACATCGCTTACACATCCAGTTCATTACGGTCCCAACTCTTCCCTAAATAACGATGGTGGATTAAAGTAAACAAAATAATGTAATGTGTATTAATATATCGCGTGTTCGGAAGGTTCGGCTGCGAAAGAGAAGTGGTGTTCATATGCAAGGTAAAGTTTGAGAATCAGTGGAATAGTTCAAGCAAAATTGTGTTTAAACGCGAGGAAAGACTCAGTGGCATGGAGTGCATCGAGACTACTAACTTACCAGTTGCTATCACACTTTAGTAGATGGTAATGAGCTCGCGTACACTGACATTGGAACCTATGCAGAGCGTTTTATCTGTTTATAACAAATTATATCTACTCTGTTGTTACTCATAAAACTCAAACATACATATGTACATGGTTGTGTACGTTTGCTTGACAAAAATTGAAGGGGGCGGTGGAGCTCACGTAATGTGAAGAAAACATCTTCCATGAACCAAAAGCAAAAGCAAAGTCTGTCGAAAATGTTTAAAACTCACGTAATCATAACATTGCAGCGATGAAAAATTTGACTACAACACCAAGAAAATTACATACATACATACATACATACACACATACATATATATGTACGTAAGTACATTGCTGTGGTTTCGTTGTCCGTTCCGTTTCGTTGCCGTTTTCTGACTGGTCTGTTTGCCATCACAGAAACTTATGGGTTGGTCGCTTGGCGTTGTCTTTCCGCTTGATGAACTACCACTCTTTGTGACGATTCTTTGCACTGTATTCATTATGGGACACCCTACCAATGTCCCTGTATGTGCGAACGATCCAATCTACCTTACGAGGAGTGGTCGATATATGTATGTACCCAGTGCACATTTCTTCTTCCCACTGGAAGTGGTTTCGATCATTACCATCATACTAGAAATGGAAAATTCTCACGACGCTGGGGAAGATTTAGAGTTCATATAAACTGGGAAGTAAATAAAGCTCCGGTTACAATTCGTTTTAGTCTGCGAATAAACAACTGGGCAAGACCAGTGGAGCGAAACAATCACAAGGGGTTCGGAGCTAAAAATGACTTCTTGTTGAAAAAGTGACATGGGAAGATCATTTAGGTCTCACAAACATTTTTATTTTTGGAAAACGTGAAGTTGTGTTATGCTTGTTTTTTGGGTAGTTATGAATTCTTTCGGTTAGGAGGAACAAATAATTTACTATTATTTATGTAACAATAACCTACCCAGCAACATGTTTGATGCCAAAACATCAGTCCAATCATAAGTGTATGAAATTCTTCACTATTTGAGTAAGTGCGGGGTTGGTATTGAAGAAAAGATTATGCATTTATAACAGATATATCTAAAGATATATAAAAAAGAGAAAATTTGTCAAATCCACTCTGAGAGATCAGCGTTAGCCGGGAAGTTCGTTAGCGAAAAACTAGTAAAATTAACATACATTTGCTCATCGAAAAGAGTTTACTCTTCACTCTTTTGTTTTCTGTGGAAGTGCTCCCGAGTCGCTTCTAATTGAAAAATTTGGGTGGGCCGAATCGCTTGAAATAGAGTGAGAGTTTGCTCTAAAAGTGAAATATAGTGGAAAAATAGCAAACGGGTTTTAAAGTTGTTGTGAAGTGAGTTTTTTTTTTTTTGTGAGTTTTAATGTTGTTTGGTTTTCTGCTGTGGTTTGAGAAAATGCACATACATACACAAATACAACAACTAAAATATTTCTCGCCAAGAGTATAGTCTACTCCTTTCCGAATTCCGAATTGTGCTCCCACTCTAATTTTAACAGACGCACAGCCAAGTTGAAGGATTCATACAACGGAAGTTTAAAAATTCTATTTCTTATTTAAAGTTGCAAAATATTACAGTTTAAACCCTATTAGTAACAGTAATGTTTATCGTTTTATTTCTTGTCTATCAGAGTTGGCTAATACTTGCCATTTCTTTTGTTGCTACAATGCCATTTAATTCATTTGAGTTCTTCCGTATTCCATGAATACTCAGTTTTCCCAATTCTAATCTATTTTTACCGAGAAGAATATCGTAGACGACGCGTCGTTTTGTTTTTGTCATTCTTCTTTGGCTTTTTACTACGAATGGTTACATCCACGTCGTTTAATGATGGTGTTCTTGTTAGTGGTGTGGAGTATTTTCATTTTGCTAAAAACCAAAATCTGCAGTCAACGACATTTACATGGCGAAACACCTTTGAATTCGCCAACAATAAAGAGAACAAGTACTTTTAAACGATATGTTTCAAATTCTCCTGAGGAGCAAGCGTTTCCTCATTCGGATATGGGATGGATATAACAGTCACAATTTGCCATTATATATGTCCGCTTCCAATGGGAAGCGGTGACGCGCTGGTCAAATACCACTTGTATACCATTCGATTTAACACCTAGAATAGAAATGAGGCGTCAGAAGCCGATATTTTATGCGATATTACACAAATTGATTCATATTGAACATCTACTAACGAAAATTCTTTTCTATATTGCAGACACATCACCGCGCCTCCAATGACGATCGTGTGCCCCATCTTCATACGTCTCATGAAATCAGTGGCAACAACGTGGCAATGCATTCATCACAGGGCACCCATCATAGCCTGCAACATTCGAGTTCACGCACAACCATGAGACATTCCATTTCGGCCACGTCAAGCAGCACTCCGGCCTCACCACAATTGAGTGGGATTATAACGGCGTCTGGAGGGCAGCTGCTTTCTAATGGCCATCACTACCAGTCACAGTCGTCGTCACAATCATCGATAATCTCCACCATTCCGGCATCTCAGAGATTGCTCGAAGAGGTTCTTTCTAAGGGCTCCCCATTCCCTATGATTGTGTTGCCACCTAGTGGTTATTGGGTGGATGGTACGGAGCACGAGTGCACATATGACGCTCGCGGTCAACCAATGTTGCCGCAAACCACATGGATGGCTAAATTCGAAACAGACGATACAGCTAAATGCTATAGACGCTTTTATGCCGGACGGGAACACTCGAACCTGGTCGGCCACGACGAGATTTTAGGACCAGTGCTTATTTCGATCAAAAGTGAAAACGTTGCTAATCAGGAGCACATTCGAATACTTTTGCGTCTAAAGACGGGCACCATGCATGAACTGATCCCCGTTTCATGCATGGGTCCCAATCCCAGCCCGAATAAAATGGTTCGTCTATTGAATGACCAAATAAACGTCGACTGTTTTATGCCTGTACTGTGTCCTAAGGCATCACAGTTGATTGGTGTCTATGATGAACATGTGTTAGTCTCTAATTTTAAATTCGGCGTTCTATACCAAAGATATGGCCAGACGACTGAGGAGGAACTTTTCTGCAACAACAAATCCTCATCTGCATTTGAGGAGTTTCTCGATGTGCTGGGTCAACGTATCCGCCTGAAGGATCACAAGGGCTATCGCGGTGGTCTGGATATACAAAATGGGCACACAGGCGACACTGCCATCTACGAAGTATTTAAAGAGCGTGAAGTCATATTTCATGTATCTACCATGCTGCCGCATACAGAGGGTGACCCACAGCAGTTGCAACGCAAACGCCACATTGGAAACGACATTGTTGCAATTGTATTTCAAGAATCGAATACACCCTTCTCCCCAGATATGATAGCCAGCCATTTTTTGCATGCCTTCATTGTAATCCAACCCCTGGAGCCGAATACAGCAAATACGCGTTACAAAGTAAGCGTGACGGCACGTGACGATGTACCCTTCTTCGGTCCGACTTTACCCAATCCCGCCGTGTTCCGCAAGGGCCAGGAATTCAAAGAGTTCATCTTAACCAAACTAATAAATGCCGAAAATGCTTGCTACAAGGCGGAAAAATTTGCCAAACTTGAGCTGCGGACTCGAACGTCTCTTTTGCAAAATCTTGTTGATGAGCTGAAGGAAAAGACCAGAGAATTTTTGGGTGCAGATCTCAGCGGCACAGCTGCTGTAAGTCCTACGCCAGAAACGCCAAAGTCCGACAACACTACGACGGGATCTCGTTTATTTGATACGGTCAAAAAAGCATTGATATCTCGCGTTCGATCACAAAGCGTCGATACCAGCAACATTGCTAATGTGGAAAAATTCTGCGTGTCCACAAAAATGAATTCATCTGCAACCAGCACTCACTCGAAGAAGGAAACGAGTTTGACGGAAACGCCTAATTAAATGTAAGTCTCCATTCACAAATAGCAAATGAGGTAATAATCATTCTATATTTCAGGCATGTAGTCGCACAACATTGAAATCTTCTTCAAAATCCAAGTCGTCAAATGAGTCTACATCCTCATCGCCAGACATAACGTCCAGAGCTCCGCTCAACCATACGAATAGCTGTAGTGGCAACAATAACAACGGAATGAATGGGACAAAAGAAGTACAGAATAGCAATACTGCATCATCAAGTGCTCCGAACAACGGGGCTATTGCCAATGCTGCATCTGGGGGAACAACGGCTACAATGTCGGAGACAAGTGATGACTCCAGCCTTAACAGTGTTGATCTTGACCCCATGATGATCCACCTTGATGGGGGAGCAGCTTACATTGACAGCGACACCGGCCTCGAATCCATGTCCTCTGCGGAGGCAACTACTAAGGCCTGTTCCCTGTGCCTTGACGGCTCTCAAACTATTATGGGTTCATCGCCTAGCAATGAAACAATAGTTCTGATTGAAAACCTGAGACAAGAAGTTACACGCCTAAAGTGTGACAAATTAGATTTGTTGAGACAAAACGTGGTAAGTGCGGTATCAGAACATTATTATACCACAGAACACAAACGTTACAAGAGAAGATAAGTCAATTGACAAAACCTTTGAATAAATCATACGAAATATCTTCTTTGCAAAATTGTTTTATCAACCAATTACTTTTCCGTTCGTATTCAGTGAAATGTGTTGTAGGTATTGTGAGCTTCACAAATCGCGTAAAACTTGCATACAGCAAGGTGTTCTCTAGGAAATTTGACAGAAATCGAAACTGTATAATAAATCGGTTCTATTTAAAAACTGTTTATTGTCTCCTACGCGGAGTCTGCTATGATCTTGTTATTGTTTGAAAAAAAAAAACAAAACTGTTTCCAAGCAGGGTTTCTTAAGACCCCTGCCTACCAATAATATAATATATAGCCAACGAAGCCCTTAGTGTGTGGCAAAATATACTTTGAATTGGTTTCTATGCAATCTATCTATGCAATATATATTGACAATTTTAAATTGGGCCAAATTTATGGGATCCACGGATTTCATTTTCAAAATCAAAACTATTTTGATTTTCATCAATCCGAAAACATTCTCAAATGCGCTGCCAAGCCTCAAAATACGCTAGTAAAAAATGTGCAATTTATAACTTACTTTTCTTGTAAAACTAAATTTCTAACAATAGTTAAACATTCAGAGTTTAAAGTCATATTTCTATTATTAACATCTTCTTTTTTTTTAGACCTGCCAGCGCGATATCAAGCGTCTAAGGGAGCGCGAACTTTCTCTGCAGGGAGATCTTGCTGCTGCGGGCAAAGAAATTCTTCGCTTAAGAGATCTACTCAAGGAATATATGCCGGAAATGGCAGCGTCTCCACTCTCAATTTCGCCGATCTAATAGTAAATAAACACACAACGAACTGTTTTACAGTAGCAATTATGAATTACGCTGAAACGAAGTTTGCAAAGCAAATAACTATTAGAAAATCAATAACCAATTGTGCCGTGTTAAACACTTGCTAAACCCGTTAACCAAACACAAGGAAATGCTAAGCAGCACAACGACGCCTCATACAAACCTGTGATTCTTTCTCGAAGAAGAATCAACATCTCCATTCGGATAGTGAATTAGTTTTGCCGCTATTCTGCTCCGGAGCCTGTCATTAGCAGAGCAATGCATTATCAAATGTTTTTTGTTTATCGGTTGATATGGCCAAAATAAGAGGACAGCGACTACACTTTTAATTTAACAATTCGTTTAATTAGATCTTTTTTTTTTTTTTTGTTAAAACAATGCATACATTAACACAAATATTTACACCAAAAAGTAAAATTAAGTATACTGTAGATATAAAGCCAGAGTGGATATGGAAAGCTGCTTAATATAATTTTATTCCAAATATGAACCTAATCTCAAAGCGTGAGCCCAAAACCGGCTAACAGTAGTGATCGATTGGAAGCTTACATATGATCGCAATACTAATCTAAATTCGATGTATTTGCAGATTATAAAAACATTAAATATTACAAGATATAAAAATGAGCTTGTGTCAAGTATAGTTAGTAGTAGAAGATGAATAGAAAATAAAAATATGATAATTGTATTCAGTATTTATTAAAAACAAAGAAACGTGGCGACACAAATTCATTCGCCAAGCTTTTGTATGTTTTTCCAGGAGTGTCGAAATTATCTAAACACAACATCATACCAAATAAACAATATACTCTTAGTATAGCCCTAGGATGTATGTTTCCACAGTCGCGCATCATCCACTTGGTGGCAAGCACAGCCAGGATGACCAAACAAATCACAATTTTACTTACTAGCCCTCAACATTTGATAGCAGTACGGCGCTTTGCATCTTCAAAGAGCTATTAAATATCCAATCCCAATTATCCCATGTACATATATAAGTATTCCCTATTTTTATATTAAACAGAAATGTCTTAGTAATTTTATAATTATTTATATATACACGTGTATCCAATTTGTTTTTCTATTGCAGTATTTACATAACGATTATATGTAAATGTTCAAATACGAAATGGTTAAATCCCCAATTACTTAGTCTTAATAACATTGTTAAACAAAAATAATGAAATAAAAAGTTGAACACCAAATTTGATTGTATTACCTTTTACACATATTTAGACTCGAAGTGCGGAAAAACTGCCAATGTATAATTTTGCATTCGTCAAAAACCTGATACATACATATATGAATCATAGAAGCCACAAACAAACGAAAAAAAAAATAATTTTGTTACCATATTGAATTTATTAATAAAGCAAACTAGAAACACAAAGGATAATGTTTACGATGTTTAAGGCCTTCAAGAAGGTAAGATTGCACAGCATTACAGTGTTTGAAATTGCTGCTTGTTTGCCACAGTTTCGCTGTGAAAACATACCAAATCCATACCATCCATGACCCTTATTGCGTTTTAAAAACGCAAACATTAATTTTTCCTATGATAACTCCTCATCACCTCCATGTTTTCTACACAAAATATTGAGTGTTTTCCATTTCCGATAACATCTTCAACCCAGAAAGCATTTCAAATATAAGTCAATTGAAAACTAAAGCAACATACACATTTTCGTTGTTTTTTTTTTTCTACAGCAAACTTTCTTCGTTAGGCCTTTTAATTAAAAAGTCATTAATAAAGCAAAGTATGGGACGGACATATGTAAATCAATAAAAATTATGATTTCCTGTGTTTCTCTAGCCCAAAGAAGACAGGGATTAGTATACACTCCTGTATGCTATACCTGTTTCTAGTTAAACACTGTTGTATATTAAGACCTGTCTTTTTTGCATGAACAAAAAAAAAAAAAAAAAAACAAAAAATTATACTTTTTCTTTATATGTACACGACATAGTTTGATTATCTTATTCTCCTTCTGAGGTTACAAGGTATTATTGATGTACTAAATGATAATTGTCGAAAATGGAATTTGCACGTGAATCTGTCTAAATTCAAAATTATGGTTTTTAGATCTGGTAAATGATGTAACTAAATCTTAACATTGTTTAAACAAATCAGAATACTACATTTTTTATAAAGAAGTTGTTACCATGGTAGAAGTAAGAAGGTGACGTCATGTAATCATATGTTTACAATTTTTTTCAAATTTACACATTTGCCAAATTTACTCATTGCCATCCTATGTATATACACAAAATCAGAGATGGGAACTTTTTTTTGGATTGAAATTTTAAATGTTGATGTACAGTGCTGGTAATGCTAATTTGAAATGAGTTTACCTTTATTATAACCTCCACCTTGGAAAGGAGGGTATATTAACTTTGCCATTCCGTTTGTACGATACAGCCCACATTATTTGACGAAGAGCGTCAAAATTTAGCAGAACAATTTGTATTTGTGTCTACGATGGTTGGTATTGAAAATAAGATATATCGGTCCACGTTTTGGTACAGTTCCCATATAACCGTACCTCCCGATATTCGGTATTTTGATGATTTTTGCTATATTTTTCACTGATTTGTCTAAAAATTGGTATTGGTTGGTCATAATGGGTTCTGGCTGCGGTGGCGAAACATTGTATGTATAGGTCCACGTTTTGGCATAGTTGCTATATAGCGGTACCTCCAGATATTCGGTATTTTGATGATTTTTGCCACATTTCTTCGTAGATTTGTCTAAAAATTAGTATTTGTGTGTCCTAATGGGTTTTAGCTCCGTTGGCGAAACATTGTATGTATAGGTTCACGTTTTTGTAAAGCCCCATATAGCGGTACCTCCCAATATTCGATATTTTAATGATTTTTGCCACATTTTATAATGGGTTCTAATGTTTCATTTAACCTAAGATGGAGGTGCCGGGCCGAACTTAATGTTTTTTTAATTGTTTTATTGTATCATGGTTGCCACATTTGCAAACGACATGCCGAAGAACATGTATCTCAAAATGGTCTGACTCCCTTTTTTCTCCTCTACACTTAAAATGCATATTTGTTACTTTATAAACTTCTAAAATAGAATTATTTTAACTGTTTGAATTCCAAATAACGTATTGATTTTGAATTGGCAGCAGTTCTCGGTTCCACGAGCTTTACTCTCAGTTAGATTATAAAATAATACTAATTGCTTTGTTCCAGACCTGTAAGTATGTAAAAAAATGTTTACTATTGGTCTGTTCCAGAACTGCAAGAATGTAACAGTTTTTACTACAATAACAGATTTAATTTTTGATATCGAAGAAAATTGCAAACTAGTAGATTTTCTAAAATCTAAAAAATTAAATTACATGAACATTTTAAACGAAATTACTATTTTAGAAAAGCAATGGCAAAAGCTAAGTGCATATGAATGGGCAAACATAAACTTAACGATTTATTTTTGGATATGTGTATAAGAATTTAAAAATGATTTAACTGAAAATCCGTTCAAGAAATTGTCTTCTTTTGTTATGAAGTGTCTAGTTTTACTATTTAGAAGATGTTGGAAGAGCTTTCAGTGGCATGAACCTTATAAAAGCAGAAATTAGAAATAGAATGATATTATACAATATGTATTCACTTCTTTATATTAGGTGCGGATTGAAAAGGTTAAATAAAGGTTGTGAAAGTTTTAAGATTACAAACGATTTCATTCTAATCATCATTCAGTCTCTAATTTTCAAGTAGTAGGACTTAATGCATTCTAATAAAATCATATTATAGAGAGAAATATAAATGTCTATTCAGAACAATATTTGTAAATTAAGGTTTCTCTATATGAATTGTTGTAAAAAAGATCAAAAGTGCGCCATTCGTGTATTTCTTAATCCTCCTGGAATTCACTTTCAGCATTTCGGTGGAATAGACATTTTGGTATTTTTTTTTCTATTAAAATTGGGGCCTATTTTATCCGCTAACTTTTATCCGATGGCCATCCAAAATGCTTGGCAGGGCCGATACCGTACCTCCACTTAAAATTTCCTAAAGATCGGACGATAATTATGACGCGTCAGAAAACTTTCAGTTTTTGGTCCATTTGAATCCCTAAATATTTTGGGATCATCTTCAAAAACATCAGGCTTCTATTCTGACACTAACCCCACCTCCATCCAACATTTCTTGAGGATCGGGCCATAAATGTGCCCTGTATATAATATCAAAAATATTACAAAATGTACATTTCAATATTGAAAGTCAAAATGAAAATATCTCATGCGACAAAAATGTGACAAAATGGAAAAATATAAGAAAATATCACAAAATGATTATTTTCATCTTTATTGGGACCTTTTCATTCGTTTTTGTATAGATGTTTTTCTTTCCTGTCAAGAGGGCATTCTGAATTGACAAGATTTGTCAAAATCAGTCCAGCTATTTTTGAGATGTAAGTATTCTAGCGAATATATGTCGCTGTATATATCCGATATCTTCACTATCGACATCTACGTAACGGTCAGAATTGTCCTTTTCGTCTATTTGTAATTTCACCGGGATTAAGAATATTCGAGGTTAAATGGGAATTATTTTTTAATACAAAACTCATGGTCTATTTCACCCGCTCAATATTACCCGATGACCATCAACATTGGAAAGCTTCTACCCAGTCCTATGCTCTAGCACCATGCTAAATTCCGCGTCGATTGGTCTATAATTGTGACAGGATTTTGATTAGAATATAAATTAGTCAAATTATATTAAAATCACTTCAGATTTGGATATAGCTCTCATATATAATTTAGACCGATTTCATGTATTTGATGCACAAAACACAATACGTATTTCCGATTCCAATGAAATTCGCCATGAGTGACTAAATTTGGTACAAAAATAAATTTGACAAATTATATTCAAATTCACTCAGATTTGATTATAGCTCCCATATGTATTCTCGGCCGATTTCACATATTTGATGCACCCAAAGCGAGAGAGACGAAATCTGTCACCAGAAGAAAATTGCCAAATTATATTGAAATCGGTTGAGGTTTGGGTATAGCTAACATATATATTTCGGCCGACTTCATACATGTTATGCACCAAACACGATATATATGACCGATTCCAATGAAAATTCAGAATAATAGTAAATGTGATAAATTGATTGGAAATTAGTTAAGATTTGGATATAGCTCCCATATATATATTCTCGGCCGATTTCACATATTTGACGCACCAATTTCAATGAAAGTTGTGGCGGAATTTGGTGGAAAAGTAAATTTTTTAAAATTATATTTAAATCGGATCAGATTGGGATATGATTTTAATAAGAACCATTGACCCACAACGCCTTTTTTAAACCCTGCAACACTATGTGTTGGGGGAATTATAAGTCTGATTGGGCCACAATATTATGTAAAACTTCGAAATTTTGGCTTCCCACATAGGAAAGTATATACTGATGTTCTAATCTCGCTGAGCTAAGCCGATCTAGCTATGTTAATTTGCAATCACGCTACAGGTCACAATTATAGACCAATCGACGCGGAATTTAGCATGGTGCTAGAGCATAGGACTGGGTAGAAGCTTTCCAATGTTGATGGTCATCGGGTAATATTGAGCGGGTGAAATAGACCATGAGTTTTGTATTAAAAAATAATTCCCATTTAACCTCGAATATTCTTAATCCCGGTGAAATTACAAATAGACGAAAAGGACAATTCTGACCGTTACGTAGATGTCGATAGTGAAGATATCGGATATATACAGCGACATATATTCGCTAGAATACTTACATCTCAAAAATAGCTGGACTGATTTTGACAAATCTTGTCAATTCAGAATGCCCTCTTGACAGGAAAGAAAAACATCTATACAAAAACGAATGAAAAGGTCCCAATAAAGATGAAAATATTCATTTTGTGATATTTTCTTATATTTTTCCATTTTGTCACATTTTTGTCGCATGAGATATTTTCATTTTGACTTTCAATATTGAAATGTACATTTTGTAATATTTTTGATATTATATACAGGGCACATTTATGGCCCGATCCTCAAGAAATGTTGGATGGAGGTGGGGTTAGTGTCAGAATAGAAGCCTGATGTTTTTGAAGATGATCCCAAAATATTTAGGGATTCAAATGGACCAAAAACTGAAAGTTTTCTGACGCGTCATAATTATCGTCCGATCTTTAGGAAATTTTAAGTGGAGGTACGGTATCGGCCCTGCCAAGCATTTTGGATGGCCATCGGATAAAAGTTAGCGGATAAAATAGGCCCCAATTTTAATAGAAAAAAAAATACCAAAATGTCTATTCCACCGAAATGCTGAAAGTGAATTCCAGGAGGATTAAGAAATACACGAATGGCGCACTTTTGATCTTTTTACAACAATTCATATAGAGA